TATTTACGATTACCGAGCAAGACGCTCAGGCCTCAAAATCAATGATCCAAGGTACTTTTACTATCTTCCAAAAAGTAGCTCATGTTTTGATTGATCTTGGTTCTACTCATTCATTTGTGTCATCACACTTTGCATGCCACTTAAAGGTAGAACCAGAACAATTAGAATACATTCTAGAGGTAGCCACACCGATGGGAAATTCACTTGACACCAATATATTGTACAAGTCTTGTGTAAGAAAGATCGAAGAAAAGGAACTGTTGGTTGATTTAATCTCCTAGAAATTCAAGATTTTGATGTAATCTTAGGCATGAATTGGCTTTCTGCATACCATGCAAGTATTGATTGTTACAAGAAAATGGTTACCTTTAGTATTCTGAATCAACCAGTATTTGACTTCAATGGTATCAAAGAAGACTCCCCATCATATTTAATCTCCTGTATTCGAGCTAATTGCGTCCTTCTAAAAAGGTGTCAAGGCTTTCTTGCCTATAACAAAGAAGATAGGAAGGAAGAGATAAATTTGGATACCACTCCGGTTATCCGAGAATTTTTCGACGTTTTTCTGGAAGAATTGCCAGGATTACCGCCTGATAGGGAAATTGAATTCTCTATTGAATTATTACCAAGGGTGGCCCCAAATTCTAAGGCACCTTATAGAATGGCACCTGCAGAACTTAAGAAACTGAAACAACAATTGGAAGAATTATTAGATAAAGGTTTTATCAGGCCCAGTGTGTCACGTTGGGGTGCTCCAGTATTGTTTGTTAAAAGAAAGATGGGACTATGAGATTGTGTATTGATTATAGACAGTTGAACCAAGTGACAGTGAAAAATAAGTATCCATTACCTAGAATTGGTGATTTATTTGATCAATTACAAGGATCACAAGTGTTTTAAAAAATCGATCTTAGATCTGGGTACCATCAGCTTAAGATTAAAAGTGAAGATGTCCTCAAGACAGCTTTTAGAACAAGGTATGGCTATTATGAATTTTTAGTCATGCCTTTTGGAATAACTAATGCACCGGCTGCATTTACGGATTTGATGAATCAGATCTTTAAGCCCATTTTGGATAAATTTATTGTGGTATTCATCGATGATATTTTACTTTATTCCAAGAATCAGAAAGAACATGAGCAGCATGTAAGAATGGTATTGCAAATATTAAGAGAAAAGAAATTGTATGCCGAACTTAATAAATGTGAATTTTGGCTTG